TTGAACAACGTGATCTTATACGTCGTTTTATAATTCTTATTGATGAATTATATAATTATCATACAAAATTAATTATTTCAATGTATGTTCATACAGTTAAAGATATATTTAATCCATTAAAAGATAATCCAAATTTAAAACGTGAAGATCTTCTTACAATGGATGAATTTCATTCATTTGATAGAACTATATCACGTCTTATTGAAATGCAATCAAAAGAATATTTATCAAAACCAAAACGATTTGGTAATAAGAAAAAAGTTTTTGATGAATGGGCACAATTACAATGATTTTTTGCAGATTTTTTCCATTTGTTTAGTTTTTCTCAGACTAATAAACTTTATTTTTGTGAAATTTAAAAATGAATTAATTGAATAGATGCATGACATTGTTCTTTTGTGATAACAAAAAGAAACATCGAAAGCATAGAAAGAAGTGTTTTTATCGTTACATTCATATTCGTTTTGATTGTGTTTTGAGATACAATCAAAATAATATTTACTCATATATTAAAGGAAGCTTGTAGAACAATTTTTGGATAATAAAAAGACAGAGCCAATGAGTCAGACTATTCGAAAACGTATATAGATGAATCTGTGGAGTTTCTATTACAATATGAAAAAATACTTTTTTCCATAAAAGCAGTAGAAATCCTACGGATTCATCCTAAATCAAATTCGAAATCTATTTATAATACCAATTAATATACTAAAATAGCTTCATCTTTTTTCTTCTTTTATTATTTGAAAGATTTCTATGTACTACCTTGTTGTTGCTCGTTTAATTCATTCTTCGCTAAATTTCAGGAGTTTTTAATTGATTGCTGCTCATCATAGAAAGAACTCCAATATCGTAGTGTATTATCAATGCAATATGTATTGTACTATGACTTGAAATTTAGTTTTGTCTCCATGATTTAAAACGATTTCGGATCCTGAATCCGAGTTTTCATCAAAAGCATTCTCCGAAATCGTCTACTGTTCGAGCTCGAAGTCTACAGTGTGACCGAAAGTTCATCGCCTATATAAACCAACTTGTTCCAAGCATTCTGCTGTATCAATTGCACTTCCAATACATGTGCAGTATATCATAGGATTCGATGCTTTTTGTGCGAGCAAACTACATATTCGGAATATCTGATGAATTCTCAGTGAACTGATTTGAATAACCTTAAAACATACTCATAGAATCGTGATCTGTGCATTCTTTGATCCGGTAGAAAACTCCAGAGCGTTCACGTCAGTATCTATCCTACTCAAACCCGACTGATTCCTTTAATACCGTCTATGACAACAATTTAAGACACAATCTGTTCATTTACATTTGGGCATTAATCTTGAGCTCACAAAATGTTCTCATTGCTGCGATAAAATGACTCTGATTCTATGAGCAATGGTGGAGATCCCATGAATAAAGCTGCCAAATCTGATACATTTTCTGTTGAATTATGGCACAATACTCTTCAGAAAGTATCGAGCACAACATATTTTCATATATGTTTTAGTATCATTTTGTAGTTCTTGACGCCCTTTGTCTATCCTGAAAATATATAGCTTGAACATTGAATAACGTACTGATTAGGGACACTGGGAATGCACTATCACAAATAGGGATGTGCACTAGAAAGGAATGGTAGGCTATCTCATAGAATGAACTATGCAGTGTTCAGGAAAAACATTGATATGCATCGAGGATTGTTTCGTGATGAATGGAGAATCATTATTTCCAAGATGGAACTGATTTCTGAAGAGACTTTCATTTAGGGCCGATTTGTGGACAAACCGTCCCTCGTCCTTTCAGCATGGTAAGTTGAAATATCTCATCAAATGATATTTTGTTTCATTCCGCACATTTCTACACGAAAGATTTTCGACTTAAAAATTGCCAAAGGACATTTGTTAACTAAATATGACGAACTGATACATTTTTCGATTTCATAATTTGATTGTATTGATAACACCATCATCAAATGAAAGATTTATTGAATCGCAAACATCTGCTATTTGTATCAGTTTTCTTCAGAACTCATTTGATAATACTTATTTAGAATGAGGACTACGTATCAGACACTCATAAGATTGAACTGAAAAGTCTGGGAACTATATAACATACTGCCCTCTACAGCACATTAACACCTCAGCGAAATCTGACATCTTACTCCATCGTCGATGTTTGAAGTTCTTTGACACTCATTCTTGATGATGTATTCTATTGTTATTGTCATGTTTCAGATGAGTCAGCAGTTATAAATTCAATTTAACCAAGAAATCGAAACACATCTTATTACTCTAAGATTATGCAAGTTTTTTGTAAAAACACCGCTGATTCTATTCTCATCATTAAGCAACTATACAAAAAATAAATCACACTACACATTTATTCGAGTATTTTTCTTTAGATGGGTTTTTTTCTTTCTTCGGTGTCATATAAAAGAGGTTTGACCGAAAAGTGGACAGATTCGAACAGGGTAAGAAGGAGAGATAACATGAAAACGGACGTATGATTACAGCAACTTTTTGTACCTGTGTGAATAACTGTATATTGCGTGAACGTTGTCATCGTATTCATTATAGCTGATATGATTTTCTCATAAAATAAAATGACAACGCACTTACAAAGAGGTTACATTTATCGACTTGTAGCAGTGTAATCTTCCATCCGATTATCTTTTGTCTCGCCCCAAACTTCAAATATATCAAATAAGAGATAATTAAAAATGAACGGATATATGAAAAATTCATGAAGGTACACAGCTCATGTTCAACTCATTAGGGACGTTGACCTGTAAGAAGTGTGGGTGTTTCGGACGTTTGTATGGTTTCCCTAGAACCTTCGCTATTCTTTGTCCGTTTTAAAAACTTCACAATTCTGAATGTGTGAGATGACTTTCTCTGTTATCTATCTGAAAAGTAAGTTAACAAAAGTACAATTTTATGCACGAAATTTGACTGAGAAATTATAAAAATACTTTTGAATCGAGAAGGTGCTTTTCCTAATTAAAAAGTAGACAAAAATAGTACTGAATAAGTAATGCAATAACTGGAAGTGTGTGACAAGAAAATACGTTTGCGAAAATAAGGAAAACATATGCTTAGTATTCATTACTTTTTCAATTTGTTTTTACTTTGAAATCAATCAAATTTGTCGAAATCACTAATATTTACTTTTTTCTCAAATAAGTTGAACATTCGATGAGAACGAATTAAACAAAAAAAGAACAGCTCGGACAGAGACGAAGCCGGATAGTGGTGAGTATAAATGAAAAATTTGATATTGGCATCTTTTATGAATGACTCTTAATGTCGTCAGACAGTAATGAAGCTGTCAATAACAGTCTCTACGATCATAATCGAGTTTTTTAAACATCTGTAAAATTAAAAACTGTTAAGCTCGCACAATACTAGTTATGATTGTAGGTTTTGAATATCCTAAACAATGTCATCGTTGTATCCTTAATTAGTTTAGTTGCATATACTAAAATAAAATCTTAGAAATTATTTCTTGTCAAACCATCGTCTTTTTTATATAAATCTACGGCTGCTTATTTATACCTTCTGAGATGGAAAGTTGTCGATTTCTATCATATTTTAATATAAAACTGTTTGACATCTTCTTTAAGAATTTAACACTTCACTGATTGTCTTTTCAAAATAACACAGTTTCAATATCAAAGCGGCAAGAAAGAAACGTGATACTTTTATGTTTTGAAACATCTTAAAGTACCCTTCAAATATCATTCATATCGAACTACTCGATATGATAACTTATTGCATTTGATAAAGCATCAATACCTCTATAATCCTATCATATAGAATTGTAAGTGTTTTGATCTGATTGAACTGTTGAACTAATACTTCGATCTAGACGAGGAAAGTTACGATTATATTACACTAGGTAACTGGTAATTGAAAATTTGTTATCATATCGAATTTTGAGAACCCGATTACAAATTTGTCTTCCGGAATCTCGAAAACCTTTGTGCATACTTTACACAGATGGATTGTGTTATGTCCGATATTTTTTTGACGTATATGCATGATGGTTTATTATATTTTTCAACTGTTTTATCACTCTTTCGTGTTTTGATTTCATGTCCATTCTCTCATATAAGTAACAACTGTTTAAATTAGATGTTAGGAGAATGGGAAAAATACCTATAAGATTTATCTTATGGTTCGTTTTATGTACATGATTCTAATATTGTTTTTATGTATATTATTACCGATTTCCTTTCTATTGTTCAGCAGACGCATGATTTTAAGTTAACACCTTTCCTTAGAACTATTACACTGGAAAAACGAACAATAATTAATCCAAATAAAATATTTGTTTCTCTCTGGATTCAACATGAATTTGAATTGATGGAAATCGACAAATTGAGGGTATGGATCTGCGTGAAGCTGAAGTCTTTTCTTCACTCGCAACAACACTAACACCTGCACAACGCATCTTTACTCCTCAATTTCCTTTACATTCAGATTCGTTCTAATTCTTTCTTGTGTTCAATATTGATGTGCTTAACTTTATTAAATCATTTTCAGCAGTAGAACATACGAAAACTAGGTACTATGGCATTTGATGACACATCAAAATAGAGTAGTGAAATGGAAAGGATTCTTTAAAAAGCGTAATTGTTCATCAACTGGCGACACCTGATTTCAAAAAAAAATGATTAATGATTTGTATATCAGTTCGAAGTATGATATAGACTTAAATTATACAAGGAAAATGATCAAAAAAATAAAATTTTCTAAATTAAAAATGTTCTGGAGTTCTTTTTCAATTTGAACCAATGAGTTTTCATCACTGATATCAGTAGTTTACTATAACATAATCGTTCTTGTTGTGACGATTCCTTTCTTCATTTCACATTTAATGCTCTCAAGAAGTTCCCCTTCCTTACATTCTTATTCTATATACTTTTTCGATAGATATAAACTCTGATCTTCTTTCTACTTTAGATAAAAACTTTGTTTTTCATTTTTTTTTCAAAAGCAACTATGTCTCATTCGAATATTACTCATGGAATGTCGCATGTCGATACCAATTCTGAAGGCAAACCATATCATGGTATTAATTGATTTATTCGAATCGAGAAAACAAAACATTTTTTCTTTTTTCGATTATTCAAATTTAGAACATGCAGATAAGAAGGCTCAAAAGGAAGATCATCCACGTACACAATCCGAGAAACACAATCCTAATTCATCTGATGATAATCCACATCATGGTCATGAAAATCAGGTACAATCGTTGTTTTTTTTCGAATCATCCATCTCATTATTTATTTTTGTCTTTTCTAGTACAAAAAGGTGTGTAAAAATGGACGCACGATGATATGATTCTATGAGAAGTTTACTTTTTTTTAGGATATCAAAGATAGTAGTACCAGTGAACGTGGTGACCATAAGAAGTAAGGAATAGTGTTTGAGAATTGCTTGATTATTGTTGTATTTTTATTCAGAGATCATGAATGATTGAACAAGAGTACAATCAACAATTTAATGAAGCATATAAAAGTTTCATTTTTTGTCGTAGTCTTTTTATTTCAATAAAAAAACGCATAAAATTTTCAAAAAGACAAGAATGTTTCTATCTATTGCATAAGTAATATTTCAATAATCGATGCTTAGATCTGTTATTTATATAACTAAAAGAAAGATTCATGATTCAATACATTTATGATGGTAGGAATGTCTGTGCAGATATTGATGATCACTTCGTCGAAACCGATATCCATACCAACAATTTCAAGTTGTAAATCTTTTTAAAAAAAAAAAAGAATTTTTTTCATTTTTAATACTCTTTAGAATCAGATATCGTTCAAAAAAAAATTATAGATTTTACAAAGAGAACAATATTTTTGCTGAAATTTTGATGGCATTTATAAAAAATTGTTATAAACAATTTTGTGAGCAAAAATTAAATAGAAGTAGTTTGAAGAAAAAAAAAATAATTTCATTTGGCTAACATATTTCTCGATGAACTCAAAAAATCTCTCTGAAAATGTATGTTTCATTCATTTTTTAATTTCGAAAGTTAATCAAAAACTTTTATCTCCAAGAAGTCTTCAACATGTTCTCAAGTAATTATAACTTACTAGACAAAGGAATCTTTTTTCATTTTTCTATCGAACTATGGATGTTTCATCGGATTTATTTCTTACCTCAAATAAAAATTTACTGAATGTCTAGAAATTATTATTTTAGAGAATTTTCAGTATCTTCTCTGAAGCTGAGATCTTATAGATAAATTTTGCATTGTACGAATAACACTATATGTCTATTTTCTTTTTTTTTTTATCTAAAATTATAAGATTAATAAAACTCTTCAACCTACAATTATGTCTGCAAAAAAATTCGATTTAGTCTCAATGAGATAGAAGCACACAAAAGCTTTTTTTTAACGAGTTTTCAAAATTCTATTAAAATGAAGACTAAAATACGAAATCAATCAAATTGTACCTTTCGATAAGCTAATCAATGCTCTATTCAAGCATATAAAAATAAAAGAATTTCTGAAGCTTTTCAGAAATACATTAAACTCAAAAAAACTAGTGAATCATGCTATACAATGATATGCATGATTTGGTAATATCGTAGAGAGAAAAGATTAATTGTGAAGTCGTTCTAAATTGTCGGTCCCATATCTATGGCATATATGGATAACATGTGCATATAGCTTTTTTCATACAATAACTTTTAAATCAATTGTACAAAAATACATTGATATTTCTCCAATTGATTATCAGACTCTTCCTCGAACTTTTAAAAGAAGAATCTTACCAAGAACTAATGATAACGTTAATAAACGTGTGGTTGAACTATCTATAAAATATATCATTTATTTTGTTGATTATGATCAACTTTACTTATTACCGCTGGTAAAGTTTTCACAAGAAATAATATTGTGATATTTGATTGGTATAATTTTTAAACTAGCAAACTATTTGTGTTGTAAAACATTTAATAATGATTTTAATTTCTATATGAAAGATAAATACAATTTTTCGTCGTCCTATTATTGATCGAATTACATCTCTCTTGATATTCTGAGTGATGATAAAATAACATTATATTCTCCTGTGAAAAGTGAATCAAATATATCTTCATTGATATTATCGATACATAATAGTCTAAGTGATTTGACTTTTATTCACTGGTTCAATGACTGAAGTCTAACAAATTCAATCTATAATCTATCGTCAATAAGTTGTGCATCCATAATTTTAACTACATCGATCATCAATATACTTGAAGTTCTTGATGCGTCATCAGATATAGATAATAGAGAAAGTAAAATAAATTGCTGTATTTGGATAAAAAATTCATTCTTTCTTTTTAACAAAAAAAAAACTTTCTAAACTGAAGTAGTTTTCATTAAAATCATGTTGTCATACTTTATTTAATGACAATTGGATTTTTCAATTGTTTCATCGAATATCAAATCTTGAAGAACTGACATTACTTCTAGCAGTAATAAGAATCGAATCGATCATTATTTATAATATCAATGTTAAAATTCATCTTTCATCTAAGGACGAGATTTGTTGTGAACAATCCATTTGGGACGAAAAATGAATGTCGTATCTATTCAATTCCATATCCATTCGATATTTTTCTTCATTTGACTAGTAGTTTTTCAGGTGAAAAGTTCTATGGTTAATAATGATTGATGGAGATCCATTTGAACACGAATTCTACCATATTATTTCTTAAGACTTTTCTTTTTTAAAAAACTTAACTATATCTAATCGTGTAACACAGTAAAATCAGCGATGTTCGCTTTCCATTCATTATATTTTCACAACTTGTATAGTTCGATTTTGATTTGACACATATTGATTCTGTTGAACAATTTATTTATGAAAGAAACACTCGTTGACTTCGTCTATGAAGTCTTGAAATTCAATGTGAAACATTAGCAATTTTAAACAAACAATTTTGATCGATGATGTAGCACATGTTAATTGTGCTACATTGAAACGTCTTGTTATGACGAAGCCATTTGTTTGTCTACAAAATTTTCATTCGTATTTTTCTTTTTTGTAATAGTAATTTTTTTTTGAAAACTGATTAATATAAACAAATTCTTTAAGAGAATTTCTTATTTAGTTTGAGGGTCATCATGAATAAGTATTTAATAGAGAAATTGAAAATCTTTGATACAGTAATTGTATGAAAGACGAGGAACAATAATTGTATTATTGATGATATGTTGTTGTTAAGTACTTTTTTAAAAGCAATTTTAGATGTCTTATCTTAAAGTCATGTATCTTATCGAATACAAACTAGTTTCTTAGGAAACTTTAGATTGTGATGGAACTCAACACGATCTTCAAAACTACTTTTATCCAAACTTTTTTTGACACCTTTTCAAAGTTGAAACTGGATATACAATTGTCTGTACTGACTCGGTGGATTATTTCAATTGATCTGATTTCAACACCATTATGCCCTAACCGTCAACTTGTAGTTATGAAAGAAAAAAAAAAGTGCCGAGCAATAGATTCGGAGTAAAAAATAATATTGTTTTCATTTCATTTAGCTTGCACATTCACCCCAACCACAACGAAAAACAGAACGAAAATAAAGAACGACAAACAAACAGCATACTTTGAAATTATCGCTCCTTCATTGCATATAGTCAGCGAAAATTCGGGAGCCGTGGCAGCACGCTCGAATTTATTACAGACCGTCGTCTCTGACTTACGTGTACGTACACTGTATGTCTCTACCTTCAGAAGAACAACAACAAACTGAATAAGACGAAAATAAAACAAGAGTGCTTTGCCACAACTTTATATTAGACACTGATCGTTATCCACGTCAGTAATTTGAATATATATTACCACCCATTCCAGTAAAATAGAACATCGACAACAGATTCGAACAATTAAATCATATGATTCAATGTTGAAATTCAAGAATTTGAAGCAGAAAGGTCTTCGGTCAGTCGCAGAACAGCATCAACCTACCTCCAACGATAATAAGTCTTCCTGGACATGCGTAGACAATATGATACTTGATGAAAATCAAGTTAATCTTCTTACGAAATGGCTTGATCTATTGAATCGACAACATTTGATTGCTATCACCGAACAGAACGATATTGTGATTATGGCAGGTGGCAAGAACGATTATGCTCAACAGATATTTATCAATTACGATGATGTCGATGCTTACATGAAAACCAATGCAGGTGATAGGAAAATAATAGACGAAACCAAAATTATAAGGATGTCGGATGTTGCTAGAATACTACTCAAATATAGATATGTTATTGAATCATCGGGACAATTGTCATTTAACGCTCAAACCATCGCTCTAGATAGGAATGAATTGACATGGCTCCAATCGATTGTGCATACCGTTCGGCCCGATCCACAATTCCACGAAACTCACGTCAAGTTATTTGATGGCATCAACATGTACTTACTGCGCATTCCGTGGGAACATATGACGCCGACTGATGATGTACGTGCTGTTGCCACCTATCTCTTTCAAAATGGACACGTTCGATACGACATTGACACGGGAACATATGTTTACCACTACGTTGAACCTGATATTCTGCTGGCTGGAAAAGCCAAGTCATCGGAACATATTGCTCAACATCAGATGCTCTCTTTTCACATTCGCCATGTTCATGTCGATGAAAAGAATGAACGTATCGAGCTAGAATTTCTAAACAAAGCTACCCAACGTCTCGTCATACCATCGCGTTGGTATCGTCAAGTTTTTGCGCATAATTTCGACCGAAATTACATTATCGACGCGCTACTAGCCAACGGTGGCATGATCAATCGTGACACTTTTATTTTTATGGGTCGTACTTACTCTCTACAAGTGCCTTACGTAACTAGAATGACGTCCCATTCGATTTCGTCATCAAATTTGAAAACGTTGAATTTGTCATCAAAACAGAAGAACGACCTTATTCGTAACTACATCGATTTGATTATCGAACATGACGGTGTGAAACAGGATAAAACCAATGATTTGCTCCTGCTGGAAAATGATAACGACGGTCGTCAACTGTACTTTACACAGGAGCATAGCCAATTGATTCGACAGAATCGATTTCAACGACTAGATGTCATTTACATCCTAGTTAAACATGGACAAATCAAAGAAGACGAATCCGGCAATTTGTTGCTGTACTATAACAATCAGTTTATACGATTTCCCTCCTCAATTGTTCAATCGTCTACAACTTCGTCACAAAACATGGGTAATATTATTCATTCACCAAACGAACGATTTCGTCGTGATATTCAACAAACATCTCAATCTATAAGAAAAACAACATCAGCTGGCCATTTTGAAACTCAATATCGAGCTCCCCTCGTTCAAGAAACGCAAGCAGAATTTCTCACACGATACCACAATACTATTGATTACATGTGTCGCCATAATCTAGTAACATGGGATAAACGTTTAAAATTGATAAAACTTCATTTTGCAGATCAAACATTACTTCTACCGATTGATCATCTACGTTCGATTCTTGATCCTCGTATTATGGC